TAACTGCTTTTCTTGACAATGCACTACCTTGAGGACAAATATCATTCAGAGGGGCTACAGTTATCACTAATTTACTACCTGCTTTACCGTATACTGCTTCTATATGTATAAATAGAATAAATTTGAGGAGAATTTTCTATTAATAATATTATTAATAATACAAAGATGTGTACGTAATATACGAAAGGTATTTCAGTTGTGTGTTGTACGAATATTCCTGGGCCCGAAGCAGTTCGTCGATGTATATTAAATATCAGTTTCTGTGAGCTAAAAATAAACAATTTTAAATATTTGAACGTATTACTTAGCTCGTGCTGTTTTGATTTACACAGTGCAATAATGTGAACTGTTAAATTAAAGTAATAGAAATATTTTAATGGTGAATATATATTAAAATAGGCCACAGAGCTGAGAGTGAAACAGATAATTGAAGCAGTCAAGATGTTTATGTTCGAAATGAAAATGTTCGTTTAAATGTAGCAAAAAGGTGAGAAATTAAAATTGATACAGAATATAAATGAACCGACGTATTATGTGTATACAACAACCACATATTTGCCACGAGTAGGTTGCGTATCTGTGTTCAACCATAATTAATTCAACTTTAATTCTATCAATCTCATTTCGAAATTCTTAGTTAACCCCTTGTCGTGAACCCTTTGACGAATGTAACTCGTGATGAAGATTTGTAGCAATAATTTGTCAAGTATAAATGTTATTCCATTCTTTCAAGTCGGAATAAAATTCCGTTCTCCTTTCATCAGCAATATTTAATCATTCGGGTAAATGTCATAACACGATCAATTGTATATATTATCTTCCTCTTCTAATAAATGATTGCAATCAAAAATGTTTGAACCATTCTAACTGTGACAAAATTCACTTATTTTCGTTCTTTTCAAGTAATCTATACAAATAGAATCTGCAAGAAAATCCATATGTAGAAGACACTTAGAAAGCAATTTCGGATACACAAGGTACGAAAACAGAAAAGAGTTATTGACAATTATAACATAGTCACCAATAGACTGCGGATTTTTATGCAAAATAAAAATAATCTGCATCAATTGTACAAAACAGGAGTTAAATAAGAATGAATCTTTTCTTCTAGTAGTGTTAATAAATTAAAAATAGTGCGAGACGACATTCTTCAGTTCATCCGATGTCTTCCCTACTCTGCATTTACACTTATTCATTTTCGTCACAAATGCATAAAATTCGCAGTCTACAGTCATTGATCGCACGATCGAATACGCAACGAATTCTTTAAAACAATAAAGCTGAAAGAAAGGAAGAACTTTCCAAACGTTTTTGCAATATTTTCCATTGAATACCGCTGTTGTTCTTACCGAAAATATTCGGTGCCGCAAGCTTGCCGCAACACTTTTCCATTGTCTTAAACTGGCTAATCGAATAATTCGAATTCCGCTAGTTGCACTAACGTACTAAACCGAATTGTCTCCGTTAACTGTTTTACTTTGGACCGTCACCGAAATTCGGTGCTGCGCCGACGCGCGACCGCATGTTTCAAAGGAAATTCCAGCGAAATTGGAGGAATTTGCCGATTATTATATTCGGTATCGCAATAATTGAAGGTATACATCAGAAATATTCTCAAAGGACATGTCTGGCACGGTAAACCCCATACTTTGCAAATACGACCACTCCCTTCTCAATTGTACCCGAGGTTACAGAACGACTTATTCAAGGACTTACAAACCGATCGTCCGCCGGAAGACGAACGAGACGTGTTCGCGAATGCGAAGGACAGCTTTGACGATGATCCATCGAAATTAGGTTATCGTACAGATCGAATTCTTCGTCGACGTTTAACAACTAACGATGCTTTCGTAAGAAGCACGTGCTTTTGCGAAGTACGTGCGAATTTCAATACTGCTGTTATAAATCGAAACGTATCGGACAATTTTTGGGAACATCGATCGTCATCAAGCGACTCGTCGAACCTCGAAAATCGTCCTAAAAAATTCTTACAAAATCGAAGTAATTCAATTAACGAAACTGAAATTAGAAAGATCTTCGCATTTCAATACGTCCAAGTAAAATTTAGTTCGTTCGAGTATGCAATACAACGAAAATGAATTTTGTGGAACCTATTGGGTTGGCAACTAAATAATTGCCGATTTCAGTTATAGATGTTTCTCACTCCCATTTTTATGATATTCCTAAATGTTATATTATAAAATTATTATTATTATTATTATGTTATTTGTTATTATCCGTGAATGTTAGCAACTGGACAAATTGAATGCAGCGGTCAAGGAAAAGCGACCAGAATTGGTCAATCGTAAAGGTGTCATTTTCCAGCAGGACAATGCTAGGCCGCACACGTCTTTGTTCACTCGGCAAAAATTGATGGATATTGGTTGGCAATTGATGTTACACCCACCATATAGCCCTGATCTCGCGCCATCGGATTACCACTTATTTCGATCCCTGGACAACTCCCTTCGTGGTAAAACTTTGAATGATGATGACGCTGTAAAATCTCACTGAACTCAGTTTTTGGCCGAAAAGGATCAGACTTTCTACGAGCGTGGAATTTTCAAGTTGTCAGAGAGTCGGCAAAAGGTCATCGAACAAAATGGAAAATACATTACAGATTAAACTTCATTCCAAGTAAAAAAATTTTTTTATTTCATTGAACAAATCGGTAATTACTTAGTTGCCAACCCAATAGTTAAAATACAGTGTCACCCATATGCGGCCGACAGACACGGCACCCATGTTGAACGACTTTGTGTTAAAAATGGCAACTCGAACACAGCTATGATGGCTAAACTGCGGATTTTATGTATTTTTGATAAAAATGAGTTGATCGAATTTAAAACAGTGAGAATCAATGTGGGCAACTCATTAAAGTGACTAAAAAGCAGAATAAATGTCTGTTATGCTCTTGAATCTTTCAATTGTTGCAGACAATTTATATTTTGCACGCAGTCTAATGATGACAGTGGAACAGTAGGTGACAGACCTGCATTCAACAGGTCGATACGAACACCTGTTGCCCGACGGTGTCATTGAAAGACCCGAGTTTCTAGTAAGAACGAGGATCCTAATTTTGAATGATCTTGAAATATCGTACGATATTTCCCAATTAGAAGTTTCAAGATAGGAATGTAAGCAATGGGTAAGAGTGTAAACAATAAGTAAAAGTGTAAACAATAAGCGAGAGCGTAAACAATATGTGACAGCGTAAACAATAAGTAAGAGTGTAAACAGTAAGTAAAAGTGTAAACAATAAGTAAGAGTGTAAACACCAAATAAGAATGTAAACAATAGGCAACGGTGTAAACGGTGGATAAAAGTGTAAACAACAGTTAAGAGTGTAAACAATCGGTAGAAACGTAAACAACGGGAAAGGATCGAGGTGGAAGGGTGCGATCGAAAAACGACAATTCGACAAAAGTATGGTTAAAACAATCTGTTTATTCCAGTATCGCGTGGCGTGCAATCGATTTTAACAAAAATAAAAAAAAAAGAGGGAACACGCCTAGCATCGTGTCGCGTACGCAAAGTGTTTAAAAATGAATCTTAAACATAACAAATTAAAATTTATATAATAATAATCCTTCTACATTATGAGAAAATAATTATTTCAGGTACAAAATTGAACCCTATCACAGACATCACTTAAAGCTTTATCACCTATATACAGTGAGTAGAAAAAGAAAGAGAGAGAGAGAGATAGAGAGAGATACATATATATAGAGAGAGACAAGAGAGAAAAAAAACAGTTCGACGGTGCCATAACAATACAGCTTACAAAAATCGTATCTCTTTAAAAGTTAATAGATAATATACCCCGACGGCGCGAGGCTCAACAATATTCGACGTATGGAAGACAAATGATTCGTCGTTTTCCCTCCTATTCGCAGCTCGCTTCTGCATCGACGATGAGAGCTTCTTCACCAGGAAGGAACAGTACATTCGAAGGGTGCTAATAGTAATAGTAGTAGCAGCAACAGCAACAGCAACAGCAACAGCAGCAGCAATGAAATCTCGCTGGTTCTCGATCACCAGGGTCTCCATACGGCGTTGGAGGACTCCGAGGAGTCGCCGGAGGAGCTGGCCACGCTGACAGGACTCTGCGGCGGCGTGTAAACGTTCTGCGGCACGTTGACCATGACGTTGGTGGCCGGACTGGCAGCGGCGGAAGGTTTGCTGACAGCGTTGACAGGGGTGGAGGCGGTGTTCGTGCTGCCGACGGAGTTCGTGGCGGGACCCTCGAGTCGTCGTAGACAGCCGCCGAGGTGTCTCATCAACTGTGCGCCGGCAGCGGGATGAACCGCGGCGGCGACGGGTGTGGACAGGAACGAGGAGACTTCCTGGGCGCACTGGGTAAATCCTTCCCGGAATCTGTCCGCGTAGCTGTTCTCCGGGGTGAGGGTGAGCCTTCTGGCAGCGCGGAGCGTGTGAAGATGACGGACGGTCAGCTCGAGGATGTCGGCCTTCTCCAATTTGGCGACGTTCTCGCCCTCGGCCTGAAGCGCCGTCACCATCAGGTCCTTCAGCTCGTCGAGGCATCGGTTGATCCTCGCCCGCCTCTTCCTCTCCAGCATCGGCTTCATCACCTTTCTGTACTGGTAAGTCCTGGACACTGGCTCCTCGTACTCCATACCGCCGACCGGCGTGTAACTGGTGTGCGGCGCCATCGTTCAGGCGGTGATAACAAACGTCTCTTCTACGGTCACTCGACGGAACTGGTCACTTGACACAACTAGGGCTCGCAACGAGCGGATCTGATCGAACTGTGTATCGATGGGGGTGTGCTCGTTCGAAAACGGTAAAGAGAGGCTCGAACTCTCTCGTATATGACCGGAATAATGTGCGTGTTTAAGGCGTGGGTGGTTCGCAAGGCTTATAGGACGTCTTCTCGGAGTGCCGAGAGTGCGTTCGCTACCGTGTTTACGACGGTTCTGAGTCTTTGGAGGGGACTGACGCGGTACTTATACCCTTCCACCGTGTCCCCACCACGCTGCCGATGACTCCGGGGACTCTACACGGAACGGAGAGAAGGGTGTAGGCCGCTGCGGGGCGGGAAGGGGGAGACGCACGACGCACGAGTGAACCCTGCAGCCCGTGCACAGCCAGCCAGCAGCCGGAGCGTATCGTGGGAAGCTCGCGGGCCGAACAGTTCCCACAGATCGGGGGCCTGTTGGGCCCGGCACAGGTTCCCTCCATGCTCCACGCGTCTCTCTGTGTTTGTGTGTGCTCACTCGACTGGCGCAGGGGGCCCCTTCGGTGGTGCCAGCGCGGGAGAGGACCTTTTCGTGCACACCTGCATGCTCTCTGCCTCGTGGAGAATGGGGATCTCGATACCGCCGCTGTTGCTGCTTTTGCTTCTGCTTCTCCTACTATTCCTTGTCCTGCCCTGCTCCCCTTTCCTCCCTCTCCGAAGTCCCTCTCCTCTTTCTCTCACTATCTCTCTCTCTCTTTCTTTCTCTCTTTCTCTTTCTCTCTCCTCGCGCTGCAGCTCGTGGTTCTAGCCCCGAGCGAACCGAGGGAAAAAAGAAGCGGCGAGCACACGCCATGTCGCGCGACCAGCACGAGGACGACCCGCGCGATCCTCTTCGATCCTCACGCGCTCCACTCTTCCGTTTGTCCTTCTTCTCGGTTTTCCCGCCGTTTCTCTTTTGCTCTTTCGTCGCGCGGCACGCTCGTCGCCGACATCCACGATACCACCGCGACTCGCGCTGCTACTACATCGCGGTGAAATATGCTCGCGGGAACATTGTTTTCATTCAGGCTAGTCAAGCTGGTTCGCACTAGCCAGCCAAGCCACGCGCTGTTTCTATTCAGGGACTCGAGATCGAGGTAGGATTTTTTTATACCGGCGTTGAACTATTTTAACGCTTTGCAATCGAGTGACGACTTCGAGGCGATGCTGAAAATTGCTACACTATTTTCCGAAGAATTTTCACGTAATTAAATTTGTCTGTATTCGAGAAAATGTTAGATAATAGAGAAGTCTTCTCTATAGTCGTACGCGTTCAATTTCATACGCGTCAAATAAACACGGTCGTACCAAATGGAAATTACTGATTCCACTCGGAAACATTTCAACAATAAATCCAAAATTATTTTTCCGAACTACGGTATTTGCACGTTGGATGTATAGTTATTGCATTTTATGCAGATGAAATTGAGTCTTGTGAGATCGTGGCTAGACTTGTACTTTTAACAGTTTGTTAAATATAAAATGTAAAAGTTAGTATAGAATGTAACAATGTTCAGTGGTGTTTCAGAGTTATCTACTCGAGTGCAAACGGTCGAGACTGCACCGAAACTGATACATATCGAAATTGTTAAGTTATCAAAATGCATGAATGACGAAATTATGTTTCTCAAATTGGAATAAATGCCGATATTTTTTCGGTTTTCCTTTTGATGACGTGACAGATTTGGACCCTTTAACCAATCAGCTATAGCAATCTCTTTGAAAAGTACATAAGTTGCTGTAATTACAC